ACTGTGAGGAGTGAGGGGGTCCAGGGGGTCCCGGCCTGCAGCAGGCCTCGGGCTGTGCTCGCCCCCGGCTGGCTGGGGGTGGGACACCCCGTTGGCTCGGGCACCGTCCCCTCTGCGTTGTCTGGGGTGAAGCGAGGCCCTCTGGGGTAACAGGTTGAGAGGGGGTATTTTTTCCCTGTTTCAGTAGGATTTAAACGAGCGTGAGGAAGCTTCGCGGGTGACAGCATCTGAGTGAAATGAGGCACACACAGCGCGGCCCCGGCGCGGGGCTGTGCAAGTTGGGGCAGCGCAGAGCGGATGGGCCTGAGCTGCCCAGGCCAGCCCTGCCTGGATGGCATCGAGTTTGCTGGGTGTGGGCAGGAGGAGCCTTGGCTGTGGAGAGGAACAGGCTCAAACCCCGTGAATTTTCTGTTACTGCCCACCCAAACGTTGCGAGACGTTGAATTCGGTTTGGAGAATTCTGCCAGTTGCTGTTTGTCCTGAAGCTTTTCATAGCGTCTCGTCAGAGTAAGGCATTGCTTTCTGTTAAAGTTCATTGAATTTTAAAAGTCGCCCGATAGTGTGATCGTGCGCAGAGCTCTCTGCTGTGGTTGACTTTGGTTTTGGGATGTGCTGGTTGTCCTTTCACCCTCTCCGTCGCTGAGGCTGGGCCTTGCTGGTAAATCTCACAGCTTGTGTTTAAGTGTGAGCGCAAAACTCTTGATAATGCTTCTGCACAAATAGATGGGCTGGAGAAAGCGCCTCGGGAGCTGAAGGTTGTAGCCTAGAGGTATCAGATGTTTATTTTTTGTTTAAATGCCCTGTGTTGGGCCTGAGCCAGCAGAGCACATCTGGAGCCAGCGCAGGGAGCGGAGGCTGCTCCTGTTGGCTCGGGTCTGGCGAGTGAACTAATTTTGGGGGTCCAAGTTCTTTCGGTTTCACTTGCTGTTTGCAGACAGAGCTACTGGAGATACCGCGGCAAACGCTGCGAAAGGAGGAACTCCAGCAGCCTGAGAAGCAACAAACCTTGACGTTTGGGCTGCTCCAGCTGCAGAGGAATTTGCTGACCCCTGTGTTCAGGGCTGTCTGTACACACAACACACAGAAAAGCCTCCCTTGCACAGGAGTTGAGAGGCGCAGGTTGCTCTGCTCGAGCGGGGCTCCCGTCATCGCCCACCCCAGTGCTGCACTGGTGGGCAGGTAGACAGGGAGGAGGATTTCGGGGGCAAATTGTTTGGATTTTCTGTGCTCGACATAGGAGTTCCCGTGTGCTGGTAACCAGCTTTGAGAAGAATTTGCACGGTGTAGAAATGCTCTTGAAATCCAGCATTGTGTAAATCGCGTCGATGCGGTTATTTCACAACCGCGAATCTAAGGAGTCCCACGCGGAAGAGGGAGCTGCAGCTCCTCCGGGTCTGTTTCTGTGTCTGGGTGTTTGTGTCCTTATCGTGGTGGGCAGGCAGGGGCAGTGTCCTGTGGGTCGCTGGCGTTGCTGCCCTGTGCTGGGGCGTTATCAGGTTTTCCTGCCACCCCAGATGTTTTATTGGAGCGAGCCCGTGGAGTTGGCACCCTCTGCTCTTTGGGGGAATCCGCAGACTTGGTTTAGGGGCCTTTGCCAGTTCGAATATAGCAGCAGTAAAGGGAAGTAGCGTTACAGAGCTGAAACTTCTCCTGCGTGGACCAGCACGGGATTTGTGGGGTTGTGTTTGCTGGTTGTGTTTGTCAGCGGTACCTGTTCCACCCCGGCCGTGGTCGGGGTAAGGTTCAGGGTCTGGCGTTTCCTCTCATGTCTCGATGCTGCGCGGCTGCCCCAGCGCTGAGAAGCGAAGTCATTTCCTTTCAGGATCGTAAGCGTTCTGGGGTGCTGTGCGCTGGGACTGAGTGGTCGCGGGGTAAAATCCCTCACCAGCACCAGGAATTGTGAAAAGCGGCTGTCCCAAACTCCTGAGGAATCCCCCTTCTGCACGCACGGGCTGTTTGTTTCAGCACATTTGGTTTTCAGCATTGAGGGCCACAAGGGTGGCAGCGGCTTTTTGTGATGAGCGCTGAGCGTGGGAGCATCAGGCCCTGGCATTGTGTGGTGCAGAATGACCCCCTTGTGTGCTGGGAGCCCCCACCTCATTAGCGACAGCCCCCGTCTTGTTAGCAACAGCCTCCCCTTCAGCCCTTCCCCAGCCGCAGTGGCATTGATCAGCCCAGCTGCTGTTCCTCCCTGTGTCTTTGGGACAGTTTGGCCCCGTGGGGCGGGGGGAGGCCCCCAAAACACAGCAATTGACAGACCAGGGTTGGAGGCTGCTCTGCTGGGAAGACCGTGGTTTTGCTTTCACTTTACCCAGAACTCCCACAGATGTCATCTGATGCTTTGTTTTCTACCGGGGATTAATTTGCATTATCCAAAGCTTTTCTGAAGCCAAGTTCCAAACAGGCTCAGGCTCAACAGTTTGCCTCACCCCTGGTGAAGGCGAATGTCAGCGGTTTGGGGTCTTTGGGGCTCTGTCGTCGTGGCATGCGTCAGGGTTATGGGCTGCAGGGCTCTTCTCTTCCACGCCATCGCACTGAAGGGGCTCTTTACAGCTTTGACGTCCTGCTTCCCTCTCTCACTCGTGTTTCTTCTCCCCTAGGACTATATTTGCCCACGGTGCGAGTCTGGTTTCATTGAGGAACTTCCTGAAGAGCCAAGGTAACGTGCTGCCCAAAGGCTGTCACCAGAGTGACTTTGGCCTGCATTGCCCTTTTCCTTTTTCTAGCTAAAAGGCAATGTTGGATGCTAAACGCACCATTTGTGCTGCTTCTGCCCAGTGTTTGTCTCATCTTTCCTCGTATCAGCCATGGGAACGCTGAGTGTTGTGTGTTGCTGGTAAATGCAGGGGAGCAATGGATTGGCTTAATCCACACAGAACAAAGTGGTGGAGGCTTTCCCCATGGCACGTGGTAGCTCTGAACTGGTGTGAGTTGTCAGAGCGGAGGTAACCCTCGGAGAGAGGAATCTGCAGAGTGCATATGCTTCAGTGGGTAACTTCATAGCTTAGATTCCTAATGACGGAACATTTTGACAAAGACTTTGGACTCTGCACTGGAGCAGCCAAGACCTGCGTTCACGTGTTTGGCTGCTGACTCGGTGGTGGGACGGCTCTCCGGCAGCGTCACGGTGGGCAAGAGCAGGAAAAATGCCTTCAAATGATTCAGCCACGTTTGCTGGACCCGAGGCAGGCAGCGCCAGGCAGGCATTTGGCGTGGGGCTGTGCCCGATGTGTGCTGCTGCCTGCTGGGCTTTGCTGAAAAGGCGATGTTTGGTCTGGCTGCACCGGCCTTGGAGGCTGAAAACCGCTGCTGGCTGGTCCTGGCTGTGGTGACGATTGCTGTCTCCTGGGAGGGTCACATCATCGCTGGGCCTTAGGGGTTTGTTCCCATCAGCGTCAGCATAGGCCTGCATGCTGGGCAGTTCCTGCAGCTCTCCCAGTGCAGAGGCCTGATGGCATTAAGAGTTTTCCCCATAATCTCCTGTATTTGGTCATGTGCCTCTGCACAGAGAGGTTCCTTTGAGTCAAGATTAGAGTTAAGCGTGTTTGGGTCAGAGTGCTCAGGGTTTGCACCTTGGGTCCTCTCTTCCTGTTGCTCTGGAGGATGAGCTGGTTTGTTTGAAGTGGGTTGGGCAGGGAATCCTTGCATGGCGTCATGATTCGGTCACTTTTCTTCAGCTTCGTGAGATCAGGATGTAGAAGGGTGGGGAGGGAAGGGTGAGGATGTGGGAAAATGGAGGTTCTGGGGAGAAGAAAAAGGAAAATTGATATGGACGGTTAGAAAACGAGCAGCCGAGGGTGGACAAGTGTCCATGTGGAGCTGAGCCTGCGCCGGGGCAACACGGAGGGGGTGAGCAGACGTCTGAGGTCCCTTTGAGCTCTGCACAGAAATGAATCTGTAGCTCCGTGTGTGCTGTTCCTGAGCAGCTGCGCTGTCTGCTCTCCTGTCAGACCTGTCCCCTCTGCTGGGAAAATCTTGCAGCTCCCTCGTGAGGCTCACCC